CACACACACACACACACACACACACACACACACACAGAGTTTTTTTCTTGATATTTGATCGCCTTACCACACCGGTCAGTCCCGGTTACCCAGATCTATGATGACCGACTTAACCGTCAGAAGAAACCCTATATAGCCGTTACTCTGTCCGTCCGTCGATGCGTGTGCACGTGAGTGAACAGCTTCTGGTCAGGGTTTCATCTAGGCCACTCGTGTGACGCGCGTGCTTAGTGGTGACGGGTACTCATAGGGTAAAGAGATGGTATGAGTAAGAACTGTGTGACCCTCTTAGGAAATGTCTTTCCCAGCTGTTGATGGTTATGATTACTGATGAGAGTTCCTATTATATATAACGTACGCACTCGTAGGTGGGGGAGACTGGATATGGTATAGGTTTTATATGTAATGTCTCTTTCGTCCCTGTCCCCCCCATTCCTCTTTTTCTGTTCCTCTCTCTCTCTCTCTCTCTCTCTCTCTCTCTCTCTCTCTCTCTCTCTCTCTCTCTCTCTCTCTCTCTCTCTCTCTCCCCGCCTCTCAAGTACTTTAATTTGTTAGCTTTCCTTTCCTCTTTCCTTCTGTGTTCATTTGCAGTGTCACTTTTTAGTCTGAAGAATGAGAGAATATCTCGCAGACAAGTTTTTCATTTATTTAACACTTCAATGTATTGTATTGAACAAAATTAGGCATTGTTATGTGGCTCACTTTGAAAAAGGTTTGGTAACCCCTACTCTAATCCATAACCTACTACTACTAGTTTCTGAGGTTGTTGTGGCTTTATTATTTTTTTGTTCTTTTGTCCCATCAGGAAGCCAATTCCCCTGGACTCGAAGTTGGAAAATCGCCTGACGATGAAGGATTTGGAGCGCTTGAGGAGCTCTTTTATGGTAGGCTACCTTACCTTGCCTCCCAAATGATCTAAATTGTATTACTGGAGGAGTAAAAAGGCACCTGCGTCACTACACGATCAAGCCATTTTTCTCGGCTATTGTTCCTATCTTACTATAATGAGCACATTCTTTTTTTCTGACTTTTTAAAAGAAAATCAAATGAGTTTTACTTTTCCTTTCTGTGTGTGTGTGTGTGTGTGAGACAGAGAGAGCAGAGAGAGAGAGAGAGTGTTATGGTTCATCTGTTTCTTTTCTGTGTTTGTGTGTCGCAGGTTGAGGGAGACGGCTATGACAACAAGCTGAGTCTGACCAAGGAACAGTTCTGTGAGGCTCTGTCGCTTCTGCTGAAGAAAGGAACGAGAGAAGAGGTCAGTTGTAGACCACCAGCCAATCACCTATTCTCAGTTTTGTCACTGGTGTTTAGTTTGAAATAGTTAACTTTAGCATTTTCAGCGTAAAAAAAAAAAAAGGAAAGATAGATTTTAATCTACAAGCATGCATTACCCACCTAGATGTTCAGAAAATGAAAATTTGATATGAGGTTACAGAGTTTATAATCATATGGGATAGGGCACCGTGTTATTGCAATAGCAACCTTTTATTATTATTGTTATTGTTATCATTATTGTTATTGTTATGATGATGATGATGATGATTATTATTATATTGTTGTTAGGCCTATACCACTACTACTACTACTACTACTACTACTACTACTACTACTACTACTACTACTACTACTACTACTACTACTACTACTACTACTACTACTACTACTACTACTACTACTATTATTAATATTCATTATCGTTACTATTATTAGTATAAGTATTATAATTTTTGCCCCCCCCCACCCCCGCCCACAGTATGCAGAGCTTTTCGACAAGATCGATGTAACAAGGGAAGGAACTGTAGACTGGGATCGCCTGGCCTCGCACATGCTGCTGGAGTTTTACGAGAAAGACGACCGGGTTAAATCGACGCAAGTTCCCCAGTGGAAGGATATTAAGATGTTGCCCAGGTATCTTTCACGCACCACGGTCGAACATGTTCATAACGGTCCTTCAAGGTCACCGAGAAACGTAATTCTTATAGCCGGGTGACCGGCATGGACAGGGTCTAAGTTATAGTCACATGGTTGCAGTCTGAGCAGTTTGCAGCACGGCTTGATTTTGCACGGTGGTCGGGTTACTATTGTGAAGGCAATCAACTCAAGTTTTGCACGCTCATATGACCTTATGTAGTTGGGAGCGTGGTAAAACTCTTTCTAAACTCTAAACTAAAGCTATAGTCACTTGCTTGACTTACTCAACAAAGTCAACAAATGGTTTGAAATATGAAATCTTCTTTTCATCTTTTTGTTTTATTTCCAATGACCCTCAATCTCCGATGAGGGTATACCCACTATGCCGGGGACCTTTTTTGGTACTAAATCTAAAAATAGCAAAAATGTTATTAAATGAGTCATTAAATCAAATCAAATAAAGTGAATCTATTTTGATAGTTCAAATGAACTCCCGATAAAAGAGTCCTGTTTTCGGCAATTGCCTTATGGTAATTTAATTTTGGCTCAGGCACATTCATTTACGATGACTTCACTTCGAAATCAAATGGTTGATTTCTTTGGTTTGCCTAGGTTGAAATCATTATCCTTATTCAAGTCTGACCAATAAATGTGAGCATGCTGACAAAGTGAGTTACTTCTCGTTATCCACAAATGAAGATGTCAGCGGAAAATAGGCAGATTAATTTTGTTGATTTTCTACCTGATGCCATTTTCTTCCAAGTTCTTCAACATGTCTTTTATCATTTCATATAACAAATTGCACAAATCAAATCTATACGAGTGGTGTCGATGTCCTAATGGTTAGGCAGCCAGACCTGTAATTGTGAAATTTCGGATTTGAGGGTTCGAGCCTCTGCTCTGTCCGATTTTGTGTCCTTGGGAAAGGGTCTTTACCCAAATTTCCCATTTGGCTCGGTCCTTTCGGAGATGGACGTTAAACTCGGAGGTCCTGCGCCTCTTGAATAACCTAATGGTGTTGATAGGGGCGTGAAACCTTTACCACATCACCATTTTCAGACCTATCAGTTTGATTTATCTGTCTGTTTTCCTATAGGGCTAAGATCGGAGAATTAACTTGCTATGTCCGCGTACCTCACAAATGCTCAATGTTGTTTCCCCAGTCCCCACAAGGAGATTGTGCAGAGAGTGGCTTTCTTGAAAAACACCAACAGATACATTGCCATCAGCAAGGTAAGGTGGGACACACAGCCTGATAAATCGCTTCGTAGAATTAATTACATACAAAGTTTTATCTGACATTTTTGGCTGTTTTGAGTTACAAAGAGGGCCTGATTTGACCACAATGACTCACATATTATTTTGACGAGCGCTTTATTTCTCCACGCTGCCTCTCATACGGTACCTTTTCTCCCATCTCCCACCAGGAAGGGTGTGTGTCTATGTGGGGCTCCGACTTGAAGCTCCAGCGACACCTGAAGACGGGCACGGACACGTGCAAGATGCGCGACCTCTGGGTCACCGATTTTGTCCTGTTGCAGAATGTCAACAAGATAGCTCTGGCCTTCACGAGCAAGGAGATCGGTGAGGGGATGATGGTGATGTTGTTGCTGATATTGTTGCTGTTGTTGTTGTTGCTGTTGTGATTGTTGTTGTTGTGATTGTTGCTTTTGTTGTTGCTTTTAATTGTTGAGAATGTTAACAAGGTTGATTCAACAGCAAGGAGATAGATGAGACAATTATTATGTTATGCTGTTGTTGTTTCTTTTTTTTTTGTTAACGGTTGATTATAATGGTTGAGAATGTTAACAAGATTGATTTACCAATAAGGAGATAGATGAGACAGTTATGATGTTATGCTGTTTTTGTTGTTGTGCTGTTGTTATTGTAGTTGTTGTTGTTAATAGTTGATTATAATGGTTGAAAATGTTGACAAGTTTTAAAAAGATTTGTCTTTTGTCTCACTGTAATACACCTGCGTCTGTGTGTGCCGTGTTGTGGTTAGGCACTTTGCTATTACAAGCAGGAGATCAGAGTTCGATTCCTGTCTGGGGAGAATTTATATGGAGTATTTCAGTCTTTCTGTTCCTGGGATGTTGTATCCCTCTCAACTTGGGTTGGCCCTGACAGGCAAGGTTGGAAACCTGCCTCTTTATGAATTGTCATTTTGGTATTATTAATTTGGTAATCTAAATTGTGTGGATGGACGAGTGTTTGAAACATTTACGTGGGTGGTTGGCGGGTGCTCTGGTGTGGTTTGCTTCTTCTTTCCTATCAAACATCTATCGTCCTAATCTCCCCTCCTTCTTTTTTATGTCTGTTACTCTCTTGTAACACCTCTAATCTTCTGGCGCTCATATGACCTTATGCAGTTGCGAGCGCAGTAAAACCTCTTCTAAATCTAAACTAAAACATTTACAATTATTATTATAAAATCTCTGTAATATTTTTACTTTTTACAAGTATAGTTGCGTGGGTGGTTGGTGGGTGCTTTGGTGTGGTTTTGCTTCTTCTTTCCTATCAAACATCTATCATCCTTGTCTCCCCTTCTTCTTTTTTATGTTTGTTACTCTCCTGTAACACCTCTAATCTTCTGGCGCTCATACGACCTTATGCAGTTGCGAGCGCAGTAAAACCTCTTCTAAATCTAAACTAAAACATTTACAATTATTATTATAACATCTCTGTAATATTTTTACTTTTCACAAGCTTAGTTGTGTGGGTGGTTGGTGGGTGCTTTGGTGTGGTTTTGCTCCTTCTTTCCTATCAAACATCTATCATCCGTATGTCTCCTCCTTTTTTTTTGTTTTTTACTCTCTTGTGACACCTCTAATCTTCGACACTCGTGTGACCATATTGTGTTGCAAGTGCCGTAAAACTCTTACAAAAACATAAAACATATGTGAAGTGTGCTGACAAAATGAGTTACTTCTCAGATTTTTAGACCGATGGAAATAGAAACATCAAATTTATAGGTTGAAGTTTGACAATTTGTCAGTATTAAATGATAAAAGACATGTTAAACTTGAAGAGAATGGCATTGGTTTAGAGTCTACAAATATGACCCTTGTGTTGATTTTTGGCTGACATCTCCATTCACGGATTGCGAGAAGTAACTCATTTTGTTAGCACACCTCACATATCTTCGCTGCATGACTACTTCAACTGTTGCCTTCCCCTCAACTCCTCCACCCCTTTCCCTTCATCTTTCCCAGCTATCTACGACCTCAGCAGTAAGCTGGAGTTCAACTGTCAGTACAAAGTTCAAGGCCTTAATTTCACGCCTTTATGTCTGGACTACTGGTGAGTGGCGGGTTTTTCTCCTGTTTTTTTCTGATAGTTTTTTTATTTAAGTTTTTGTTTTCAGCTTTCTTTTTTAACTTCTGTTTTTAGTTGTTGTTGAAGCTACCAGACTCACCGACCTGTGTCTACCTGTGTGGTATCGTTTTTTAGTGTTTTGTTGTGGGGTGCGGAAGAAATGAGCTTGATTCCCAAGTGTGGAGATTTGTGAGGTGTGCCGCTAAAATAAGTTAATTCTCGGATTTTAGTCCTCTGGGCATTAATTATAAAGCCTATTATTAATATTATTATTACTACTACTACTACTACTATTATTATTATTATTA